GGGACGGACAAGACGCGAGACGAAGGAAGAATCATCGGACCGACGTTTGACGCTAATCTTTAGGCTAAATAGGAATTGAACGCAGGGGAGTACTTGAGCGATATTCCGGGGGGGGGGGCGGAAAGGAGGAGGGGGAGGGACAAGAAAGAGGAAGAAGAAGAAGAAGAAGGGGGCGAGAATGGATGACGGAAGGATGGGGGGAGATTGGGTGAGCGGATAAGTTTGGGGGAGGGGAAGAAGAAAATCCGAGAGAATAAAAGGCAGAAGAGAGAGAGAGAAAAGTCTGGGGGCGAGAGAAAGTTGAATTAAATTAAATTAGAGAGAGAGAGAGAGAGAGAGAGAAGCGAAAAGCCAGAGCAGGAAAAAAGGACGAGGGAAAAGCGGCGCGGATCGTCGCTGAAGAGAGCCAAAAAAGCAAAATCCCCAACCATTGAAAGCGTCCAAGCGATTAATTCGTGCCTGTCAAAAAACTAAACCATCTTGACTGAACTTAGATCCGTGTCTAGTTCTGCGACTAACATTCGCACTATCTACTAATTGCTCTAGTTTACTTACTTAGTTAGTTATGCTTGCTCTCCGATCGATCCATCCTCTGCAGTGGTCCCTCCTCCACACCACCTCCAGTGAGCGGAAGAAGTGCTATCTCTCTCTCTCTCTCTGTCTCCTTTTCATTGATCCCTTCGTAATCATATCATCTTTTTTTTTTGTTTCCCTCCAAACACCACCACCTTCTCTTCATCTCCCCCTTCCCCACTCACTCACTCACTCACTCAATTTAACTCACTTAATTCCCTCGCTCACCCCAACACCTTAAATCCACCTACCCTCTCTCTCTGACAAACACAATCCATGGATCCCAGCCAGCCAGCCAAACAACCAACCACCGGTCAATGCGGGGAAATTCCCAAGGTTGACCGCAAAAGTATATCCTCTTTTCTTCTGCCCACACTATCGGACCCATCCGCTGCAAGCTCGGCCTGACAGGTCACTCCCTCACTCACTCACTCACTCACTCCCTTTCTTTTCTCCCCTTATCAGTACTATTTCTCCTTTCTAAATTCTGCGCTTTTCTCTTGATTTCCCGAGCACAGCAGCTTAGACCCAGCATTGACCGACCCATTTCACTGATGATGATCACTTGCTCCGAGATCAGCGTTCTAGACATGACAGATCATAAGCAAGCAGCAAACACTCGAAAGAATTGTCAAGACAAAGTACAGTACTACCTCTCTCATGCAGAGCAAAATAAACATGCTTAACTGTACAGAACATTATGCTTCTGAACCGGTCACAGACAAGGGCCCGGGCCCCAAGTCTTTACTTACTTAGCTCAGCTTGTTGCAACGCCATCCCCACTTAAGGTTAATGCGGCGATGGTGCCTTCGCCCCTGGAGAACTTTGGGGATGGGTGGCGTCCCAGGATTAACCTACCTCTCTGCCTTGCTCATCACATGAACAATGGGCCACCAACTCCCCCATGACGTACCTCAGACCATGACTCGGCGACTTATAACCTAAATCTCTATCCTCTTATCCTTTCCTTCATCAGTAACCGATGGGCCAGATGTGATCGGCCGCCGCTCTCTCCAGACCCCATCCCCCCTGCTTCTTCCCCGGTGACCTGGGCTGGTCCATGGTTCGGCCCGGATCTCGATGCAGAGGATAATAATTACTGTCTACCCTACCTACTTTAAGTATAGACTTTACTTTAAAAAACAGACGTAATATTAGACTTCGTCCATTTATCCCCCCCATTTGGGAAAAACTTCCGGGGAATAAATTTAGTCAAGCTCAATCAATGGGTATTTTCCTCCTTCCCCAGTCACCGGGTCCTGATACTGCTCCAAGGCCTCCTCAACGGCCGCCATGTATCCCAGCACCTTCTCTTCCTGCCATCTGCGCCCCACCACCTGCACCGCGGTAGGCAATCCCGCCATCTTCGCCGCGTCGTAGTGCTTCCAGGCACCGTAGGCCACCGCGTTGCTGGCTCCCAGCTGTTTCAGCACCTTCTTGTACGGCCCTGACAGGGCATCCTTCTTCGCGTCCACGTGCGAGACGGGCAGGACACCGGCCGTGTAGTCCAGCAGGTTCCAGAGGAATGTGTATCCGCATGATGAGACCGCATCGTGCATGGCTTTGTGGGGCAGAGCCGGCGTCGCATTGACGGGGCAGAGGATGAAATCGTACTGCTGCGTCTCGGCATCCCACCAGCTGTGCCAGGTCGCCCGGAAAGCTTCCCGCTGGGCAGTGAGCTTCCAAAGCTCCGCCGCAGACTTGGGGGCAAATCCGCGGATCAGCGTTGCCCACTTCTCATCCCGTCGGATGTACCGAACCCAAAGATAGTGGAGATAACGCAGGGGACGGGGCAGATTGCAAATCCGTGTCAGCTGATCCGCACCAGGGTCGGATGGCTCAAAGCTGTGCAGATGCGAGTTAAAAGTGACGCACCCGTCAGAGTTGAGCAGCTGCGAGGCGAGGGAGAGACCGGTAAAAGTGTCAGCCGCAGCCGGGGGTGTGATCTCAGACACAGTATGCCCAGCGGCGGTGAGGGCGGCTACTGTGGTGGAAATCGCACGTTCAATGGCCGGCGTTGGGGGAACAACACCTGCATGTCGTCAGCAACGCTCAGCAGCATCCTTTGCGTCTCCACTCTTGAAACTTACCGTCGTTGCTCATGAGGCCGATCCTCAGCTTTTTGTTCTGCGCTTCGACTTCCTCGTCTTCTCTCCAGGAGATAGGGTGGACGGTATGGTCGTAGTTCCAAGGCTTCATTCCGACAATAGCTTTAGTGAAATAGGTGAGATCGTTCAAAGTACGGGCCATCGGGCTGAAGACACTGGCAACACCTTCCTGGCCAGCCATGCTGGTGTTGACTCCAACCTTGGGCCAACGGCCAGTACTACAGCGGAGGGAGTAGATGCCGCTCCAAGCCGCGGGAACGCGAACCGAGCCAGCGACATCAGACCCGATACCGATGCGACCACCAAGAGCCAGCAGAGCACCTTCACCACCCGTCGAACCTCCAGGGGAGTATTCAGGGACGTGTGGGTTGAGGCAATGACCCCAGAGAGCATTTGCCGATTCGAACGACAGAAGCGTCACGGGCAGTGCCGTTTTGGCATATGGGACGGCACCTGAGGGGGTTCATCATTAGCGAAGGTATACTTTTTGCGACGTTCCCTAGTTTAGGCCACGTACCAGCATCCTTTAACAGCTTTGCCATTGGTCCATCCTCCTTATACGGTTTACACGCAAACTTGGTATAGCCAAGAGTAATATCGAAGCCCTTGATTTGCACCGAGTCTTTCAGAGAGATGGGCACACCCGCCAGGGGACCCTTGAGGTTTACTTCGGACTGGGCCCATGATTCTGCCTCAGGCAATAGAAGCTCAGTCACGCAATTTGTCTTCTCGTGAGCCTTGATTGCAACCTTGCCGTATGTGCGCAGGACATCTAAAGGTGCCAGGGAGTCATTCTGGACCTCATACACCAAATCCTGGATAGGCTTGTTGATGATAGCTCTGTCGATAGCCGAGAAGGGCGCATGGTAGTCTGGCGATAGCGATGCAAATCGAGCCGCCCGCTCCCTCCTCTTGAGGTCCCTGTAAATGATCAGTGAGCCGTCGGCCGAGTTGCGTGTGGGTTATGTAGGACTGCTTGGGTTGCTGCGTGGAGGCATCGGGGTAACCTACCGGATGCGACGGTACGTAAAGTAATCAAAGGGGGGAAGCATCGTGTGTCACCTCCTTAGGAGTCTGTGCAGAAGCCCAAGGGGGAGGACAGAGAGAGACAGAAATAAAAAGGAGGAGAGCAACGTTTCGCGCAGCAAAAGAGATCCGTCACAACGCAGGGGGGGGGCGCCTTCCTTTTATTGCGGGGGAAGCACCACACGTGCGGAGAAGCCCGATAAGCTAGACCCGCTGATAAGCGCTCTCTGTCCAAGCTGACTTGTTCGCTTCCGGTACGGCGACGGCTGAGCTGTTCGAGCTTCCAATGCATCACGATAAGCTATGACAGTCATGTCTAGATACACCTGGCACCTGTTCGTTACTCACGCTGTTAACTTAGGCCTGTCGCATTCCACTGAGGATAGTGATTCAATGCAAGAGCTTCCTGGATGACAATATGAGATACAACACGTGACGACACAGAAGCGGCTGTCAGCGCTTGTGTTGCCGCATTCGGCAGGTCCATGCGGATAACAAGCTTCCTAGTATCATTCAAGTAATAAACGAAGACTAGACTGCTCCTACACAAACTTCTTATCTCCTAATCTCGTCTAGTCATCTGCTACTCGACACTTGCCATTAGTCTAGTAAGCGATCCGCTTGTCTCGCTCAATAAGTTCAAGTCGGATCAGTCGGCTCCCAACACTGCCGAAGGTTGATGGTTTAACAATGTGCTAAGATATTCTGTGCCTCAGGGAGTCCACTCGTTTCATTATTTGGGACCATAGCAAGGACCACCCAGCGTCTTCCAAGGAGATTCGAGTCAACGTGAAGTCCATCATGTTTGATCATTATAAACTCAGCCGCACCTAGTAGATACCGGAATGTCCGCGAGCATATGCCGGGTATTCTTCTCCGAAAGCCAACCTTGAACGCCGTATGATGAGACTAATTGTACAGATGAGACCTGCTCGTCCATATCCAGCCCAGATGCCGTATTCACAGAATTCCCTGTCTTTCCACATTTCCGCTTCCCCAACCTCGATTTCCAAAATCTCCGCCTTTCACTTTCAGCTGAGATGGTATGAGATGGCCCCAGCACAGTTTCCTTCGGAGAATCGAACCTTCAGTAATGTTGAAGGACTCGTACTTCCGCCTTCTATTGATGAAATCGCGACCAATGTTGCATTCGAACATCAGTGAGCCACAGGGTATTGGTTGTTGATTTGTATGGGCCAATGAAGTTAACACTTTTGTCTCACATCGGCACTGTTTCTGTTTCAGGCTTGAGCCAGTTCTTCGATTTCAGCCACAAGATGACGACAACAATTGCCGCAACAATTATCGCTACTATGAGAAAGATCAAGATGCCACAGATGAAAGTCCGCCGTCTTTTCTGGCGTTGGGCCTCAATCCAATGATCACTGCCGATTTTCATGGATGATTAGCCGGGTGAACTATAATGTCACACGAGGGTTTTGACATACGTCCAGATGGTAGGTTTCTTTGGTCCTGTTTCTGTCTTTGCTTCTTCGTCGAGGTGCATAGCGGCAGAGAAGCGTTTCCAGAACGCCGGGTCCCGGACAAGTGCCATGATCACGCTGCTCCACTAGTTGCCAGACATGGGGTGCCGCAATTCACTGGTTTCAGAATAAATAAGGTGTCCGTGCTGTCGATTGAAGGGCCGTACGATGGCTCAGCCTGGAGCTTGGAGGCGTCAAGGATAGTAAATTTGAAGGATATCAACAAAGTTACGTTGACACAGTCAACCAAAATATGAGCGGTAATGTACGCTTTCGCTTACGGCTGGAGCGCCAGCGAAAGAGAGTGAAGTAGAGATTGAATCAGTCTAACAATTGAAGGCTTCACAATATGGACTAGTTGTGACCTCCCGAACGACCATAGAACGAGAGACGTCAACAGGGAGCGCAAACGCGGGTATAACAGGGATTAAGAAAAATAACAAAAGCTCAAGTGAGGATGGATCAGGGACGAGCGAGGGCATTATTGCTGAATACCAGCAGCATCGGATGCTGGACTCGTTGCAATGCTGCCCGTAGAGGTGCGTGAATTCCAAACAGCTCGGCGGGAATGACGGGCCCGGGCCAGGGTCGGCGCGGAATCTGGATCGGCAGCACGCCGCCCAATCACAACCACCGGAATCTGACAGGTCTGGTCCTGCACCCAATAAAACGAGCATCTTCGGCCCACGGTTCGATTGAATAAGGTATGTGGTCATGCCGGTCGGCTTGATCTGGTCAGGGCACGAGCAACAAGCATGGCGACCCGGTATTTCGATGCCTATCAACAAACAATTTACCCAAAATCCAGCCGCGTCGCAGCAGTCTTCCCAGGCTAGGCCAACGAGGCCAAAGTATGTCCCTCAATATTAAAGGTTGTCCCGGTACTTTGAGAGAATGCTGTAAATTATTCCTCGAATTTCTCCAACTTGATTTAACTCACATTCTTCGACTGTCCGACTCGCAAATGTTCTGCGATCTGATCTGGCTCTTCAGGTATTGATTCAAGAGGCCCTTCAGGAAGAAACTCCAGGGCCGAAGAACAAGATTACAGGCATGGACGGATACTTCGACTTGTGCCTATTCAGTACCTCCAATTTCGTGCCTGAACACTGGGGACCATGAACTAACTGCCTTGATAAGCCATGGTTATCCAGGACAATTCGGGATAGCAATAAGTACACTCACAGCATCTATGTTTGAATCATCTTGGAGCTCATGCGACATCCTCATGTGCATGCATGATCTGACTCACATAGGCCATGTGCACAGAGTATACACACATACTGGCAAGGGCGGCCAGCAGAGAAAAAGCCCCACCCACCATTAGCCAAGCCAAAGGCTTAACTACTGTCTATTAATAGGCTCTGCAATTGGAATTATGAGTCGAGTAAGGGGACAAGCAGTTTCATCGTTACCTTGTCTGTCCTTCATGGGGTTGCTGTGAGGGACCAGTGGCTGGCAGCTATGTTGATTCCATTGGCTGGAACTCAATTATCAGAATTGAGCTTACTCACTGCGAAACTAGTTTGGCCACCTGGCATTAGGGAGCCTGATCCTTTTTCACTGGTGCCTTACCCCCGTATGGCATAAGGCAGGCATCAGCTTAGATCGGTGTTTCAGCAAGAACCATGCTTATCATGAAGGTGTGAAGGAAGCTGGATCTACTGGACCGCCTCCTATGCGTTCACACTCATCCTTACTGCAGTACGTACTAATGCATGTAATTGTGCTTCGCTTCCTTGCATTTATCACGACGAGATCTTTTACCACATCTGGCTCTTTGTAGAAGATATCAGTAGTCTCGACGCCTAACTAACTCCAAAAATAACCAGTTATTACCACAAAACACGCTGACAGACCTAACGGAGACGTATCGAGAGTCTTCTTATCCTTCTGTTTTTCGTTAACGTGAAAATGTGATATACAGCATGGTAATCGGCTCGTACCGAAGGGACACTTGCGTATGGGAAGACTTGGCATCTGAGAGACTCGAGGTATTACTCAGGGTGGCTGGCAGAGACCATCATCCGAAGATGAGCCCTGGTGATAGTGGAAGTAATTCCAGCGGCTTGTGGCGCGGGCCTGGGCTACGATCCAGCCGGTCCTGGCACCAGCGAAGCCTGCGCAGCGAGCAGGTGGCGCAGGAGCTGGTCTTGCTCCATAAGGCCCGGCTGCCCGGACCATACCCTTTGGGAAGAGATGTCTTTGGTGGCATCGTTGCATACGTGCGTGCTTCTCCTCAGTCATTTCAGAGATGATAGAGTTCTCTTCGTGGATTTGAGACAAGAGGATTCAGCCAAACTTATGCACATGCCATCAGACATCTTTTCCAGCAGTCCTCGGCAATCTTCCTGTAGCACTTTTAAAGATAACCCGAGACGGGATTATTGGAGGATGGGAGCATGTCTTCGCCTATTAGCGTTTGTTGATCAGCTCAATTGAGGGTTGGATCATGTCATATCATTCTAATGTGCGCTCGAAATTGTGGTCACGAATGATGCTAATCTAGATCATGTACCTCAACCGAGGCCAACAGGTGAAGATGGTATGGAGCTCTGTTGCTTGGATCAAGCCAGCTGTATCAGGGATAGGGGGTCATCAGAATGGAAAGAAGTCAGTAGATCAAGCCCGTCTGGAATCTGTAGTCAAAGAGCAGTAAGAGATAGTCTCTCTCATTGGGGGGGGGGGATGGGCAACCCCTCCAACCCAACCCATCATCAGGTGATTCCCACAATGGCGAGTGACTTTTTTGGCGGAGGGCAGACCGGAAGTCAGACCTTCAAAACCTTCAGGTACCCAAAAGCGGCCTCGTGCAGGGCCCCATTTGGCTTTCTGTCGCATACAGCGCCAGCATGGTCCGACGCCAATAAAACGAAGGTGAGCAGATGAGGCGGATTGAGTTGGCGTGTTGACGGTGCCAGCAAAGGAGTTGACATCCTTTGGGCTCCCCCGCAGTGGAGCCAGTGCTGGATGGGTGCCTGACCGCCAGGCCGAAGCCTTGCGCTTGACAGGCCACTAACCGCCCGCGATCACGCGTCTTCACTATGCCTTGAATGGCATGAAGAGCTGCTGCGGCACAAGGTGCAGGTGCAGCACTGCACCTCACCAAAACTAACAACCGCATTCCCAGCCTCGTTCTTCAATCCACCTTCTTCAACCTCCTTCTGTCCCCCATTCTCCCCCCATTGATGTCCCCGCTGTCCTCACTGCCGTCTAATGCCTCTACACCGGGCCCCATTCTAGCTCGGCCATGTTTTCCGCCCATGATCATCAGGGCCCGAGTTACTGGGGAGTGTTGATCAATGCCGATAAGAGTCCGGCCCCGCTGCTGGAACAGCTGTGCCTGGAAATTGCCCGCATCATCGTAAGTCGCGAATGGGGGGAGCTTCTCCTGAGTTACTGCGCACTATGAATTCAAGCTTATCTCCCATGGTTCGCGTGCGAAGACATCCTTCGACGACTACGCTACCGCCGACCTCACTCCCGAACGACTGGCTGCTTTTTATCGCAAGGTGGGCGGCAACTACGACGTCCTCTTTCTCCAGACCAAACCGTCCGCGCTTTCCTTCATCTACCAACGCCTGGGATGCTTCCATAGTATTCAGCCTACTTCCGATCCTTATAAACCTCCCGCCATTCCAGCTCTTCAGCCGAATGGCTTCGTGCGATGGCAGACCATTCAGCTCCTTCTCGATCCGGACGAGCATTGCCGGTACCTCCAAAACGCGGTCGAATTGTGGGACATTGAAACTCCGAGCGGGGAGTTCTTTCCCAAACAAATTCCGCGGGAGGCTTTTCCAGACAGACCAGACCCGGAAATGGTAGAATGGCACGAGTCGGTTAGTCGACGCTTCGAACTCGATTACATTAAGAGAAACATCTTGCGTGCATCTCCACCGAGCTTTGGCACCTACCATTCTCATTTCTCCAACAAAGACATTCCACTCACCAGGGAAGAGACCAGCCTCCCTCCACGGCGCCGGTCGTCAACACATCGCCCTCACCTAGTCCCAGAGGAACCTTCCCCTCCCAGTAGGCACCAGAGGCGTCGCAGCGGCGAGTACCCACCGCCAGCCACCCGTCGGGTTCAGTCAACATACTTCCCCCGTGCACCAGACGTTGAGGCGCCTCGCCGAGCTCCTTCACCTCCCATGTGGACCAAGTCTGCTCCCAAACCAAGAGGTCGCGATCGCACTCCGGCGTATTCCCGGCCTGTCAGTCCAAATACATTGCCTGGGAACAGTGCATCTGATGCGTCATCCGAAGATTCTGGAGGTGCAGTACGCCGCGCGTCCCCCAGCGCTAGTCGACACCATCGTCATCTGCGTCCAGATACTCCGCACCATTCTCATGCTCGCCGTCATTCACATGAATCCTACGCCAGGAGACCCGAACGGGCATTCTCCCCGGATGATCAGCGACGATACATGCACCGGGACATGTACAATGCCAGCTCGGCCAGACCCTACGACTCCGATGGTCCTCGTCGGGCACGCTCGTCGAGGATATATGCCGAGGAGCCGGTCCGCCCTCCCCGGACTCCAAGGCCAACATTCCGCGACCACGTGTTTACCGATTCCGCAGCTGTCCCGGTCAACCATGAAGTGCCGGTATACACGCACATGCACCCCCGATACATGAACAGGAATGGCAGCTATCCAGTCCGACCGCCTCCCCCACCCGACGTTGACATGCGTGCGGGCGATGACGGCCGACGGAGTTACAGAGGACCTCACGTCAACCCCAACGCCTCTGGTTTCAGTAACTCGGCAACTCCGGAGCGTTCCCGCTACCCCTCAGGCGGATATCGGCCTCAGAGATGGGCCAATCCGGTACAGCCATCGCCAGCCCGAGGAATCCCCGTAGGAATGCCGGACATGGAATATCCTCCGAGAAGCCGACGGTCCACTATGTACGACCGGTGAACAATCCCAACAACCTTTTCTTTACATCTGTCAACAAGAATGATCACTCCTACCCAGAATCACACCTCTAAGCACGACAACAAAGACTATTACCCTCCTAATGAATACACGTTACTCCAGACTACAGTACTACTACGCTACAAAGACTAAAGAATGACACCGCGCAGAGCCATTATTGACGACAGCAAGAACGAAGCGGGGTATGGAATACATGAATGACCGGCGATTTACTTGCTTGGGCGGTTTCCTGAATGGCCAATACCCCACATTTGATGATAATGCTACGTGCTACGATATGACATGATATGATGAACTGACGGACCCGATGGCGGTCGGCTATGTTACGATTAACGACGATACGAGTATTATTAGAGAGTTAGACGGAGTTCTGCTGTTTCTTTCGCGGTCTCTCACTATTCTCTCTGTTGTTTTATTCTACCTTATTTGATTCCATGGGTCATCTTTTCTCTTTTACCTCGTTAGTATACACTACTTACTATATTACGAATATCAGATGATTCAGATTGTTTCCCTTTACTAAAGAGGGGTCTTAATTGGTCACTAGTGGTTGTTTGATTGGTAAGTATATAGCTATGGCCGATGTTGTCATTAACCATAGCATAGTATTTGGGAGCGTAAGATGTAGGTTGCGAGAAAGGAAGCTTTGCATTTCGCTCCCGCTTAATTATCCTAGAACTGAGTACATTTCCACCCATTCCTGCTCATTGAGACAATGCAATGAACTTTAGCGATATTGAGCCCTTTCAAATTATAGATTTACATTCATATTCCTCGACTCCAGCATGATGCTTCTACCGCTATATACATAATACCGACACTTCCGCTTCCACACGTCAAAATATATACTAGTATCCACAGTATATAGTCCTCTCCATCCCCACACACTCAAACAGTAAGATTAGCCCTCTGGAAGCTAAACCCAAAGTCCTCAAACACGGCACACTTCTCCGTAACACCGGGATTCTTCACAATCGACGGCGGCATATCAAGAACACTCACATTTCGCTCCGCGACCTCATACTCAGGCATGTAGTACCCACGAGGGCCAAAGATCTGGTAAGTCGATGCATAAGCGGGCCCACGAAGCTTCAGCATGTCCAGATCGGGGTTGGGATTGCGGGTGCGGAAGAATGAACCGAAGATGTCGTTCATGAGACGTGCATGCAGGATGTCTCGCTTGTTGTAGTATGGGGAGACATTCTTTGTCTTGCTGTTGAGAGTGCCCCAGGCGGGAAGCACATCTGCGGAGTGGCAGGTGGCGTTGAAATCCGTGTTGGGGGAGCAGATGCTGGGCACATCGACGGTGGTTTGCACGTGGCCGTGTCGGACTTCGACTTCCCAGAGGTGCGGGAATGCGTGGCGCCCGCCGTGGCGGAGGAGGTAGGCTTGTGGGCAGGTCCATTCGCTGTGGGTGAGGGCGTCGGCGACGGTGTTTCGGACGCTGTCGGGGTCTGAGGCGTTGAGGGGGAAGGCGGAGGTGGCGATGAGGGATTTGATGAGGGAGGTCGGGTAGGCGTAGCTGTAGACGAGCTTGAGAGCGGCTTCGCTTGCGCCTAGGTTTGGGACGTATTGGTCTACGTAGAGGGCGGCCTCGGTGGTGACGGTTGTGAACATGGTCGGGACGCGGTTGGGGAGTTTGTTCGAGGCGAGAAGACGGTAGAATTGGTCGTCGATGATGCCACTGCCGGTGTCGTCTACTATGGGCATCAAGGGCTCGATTGATGCGAGGATCTCGGATGAATGCAGCCAATCGCTGGCGATGGTCTCGGTGGAGGCTGTCATGGCCGCTTCGAACTCGGTAGTGTTGTCGAGATACCGGGTTGCCGGAACCGATCTCAGGCAGGAGATGAGGGCGGTTTCCGATGTGGTGCCGTTGCAGCCGACAGCCCCTGCGATGTTGGGAGTAACGATCTTGGTATACACCTCGCGTGTGAACCAGGGAAGGTCTACGGGGGCGGACTGCACAATGGCACCGGAGAATAGGCCGTGGGCTGCAGTTGATGAGAGTAGCGCAATAACACTCTGGCCTCCGGCGGATTGGCCGAAGATTGTGACATGGTTTGGATCTCCACCGAATGCTTCGATGTACTTGTTGACCCACTTCAAGGCGAGGATTTGGTCGCGTGTGCCGTAATTGCCCGTGGTGAGGTTGCCCGTGGTCAGCCACCCTAGAGCACCGACTCGGTAGTTGACTGTCACAACGACGACGTCGTTACGGCTGGCGAAATTTCCTCCATCGTAGTCGACCATGGATGCGGTTCCACTGGTGAACGCACCACCGTAAAAGTATACCGCGACAGGCTTGCGGGTGGACTTTCTGTCATGTGAAGAGGGCAGGACAGGAGAATAGACGTTCAGGTATAGACAGTCTTCCGAGATACCGCCGTTGTCGAGTGTACCGAAGCCCGAAACTGATTGAATGCATGAGTCCGCCAGTTCAGTCGCGTCGATCTTCTTGGGACCTGAGTACGGGCGTGGGGGTGCGAATCGCAGGTCCCTGACTGGCGGGTCTGCGAAGGGAATGCCTAGGAATCGAAACGAGCGCCCATCGCGATAGCCAGTCACATGGTAGTCATCGAATGAGATAGATATCTTTGACTTGTTCACGGCTCCCCTGTCCTTGTCGGTAGTAGGAGGCACGCTGGAGGTGCAAAGGGCAGGCAGTTGTCGATCACACGGAGCGCGAATGACTTGCCTACGGCTTTGGGAGTATGCCTGGCAGCCATCGGGCGAGTCTTTGGCTATCCAAAAGGAGCTATTCGCCTCCACATCCTTCGTGTAAACCAGATAGTCGAGCTGGTACCCTATCTCTGTGGCGTTGGCTTGGGATACATCCTGTAGCGGATAGAGGGCTTCGCCAATGGATGCACACCGAGATTCTGCACTGAGGTATGGCAGTCGGTCGTAGACCAAGACTGCGGCGGTGCCATTGTTTCCTGGGCCCAAGTTGTTATACTTCAGAGCTTGAAGGGTGCCCAGAGAATCAATGCTGGGGTGGGTTCTTGCATCTGCTGGCGGAGCTGGGGCCGCTGGAGCAGAGCCAAAGAGAAGCAGGGAGCCTACGATAAACTGAAGCTGCATTGTCACAGACTTTGGCTACCCAGTGCACGCAAGAACAAACCACCAGGAAAGGCAGCAGCCCGTTTTAAAACCTTCATCGCTGCCAAGAGAGGTGGCCCAGAAATCTGGGCTTGGGGCCATCAGTTATTCGGGATGGCCGGAAGAACAATCCTTTGAGTCAGTCGAACGACAGAATCTGCCATAGATGGAGCATACACAGCCAAATCGGTACTGGCGGAAGCTGGGGTGCATTGATGCCAGAACTGCGGAAGCTGGGGCATCGGTTGTTCCTGAGAGAAGATTCCATTTATCTAGCCGAGGCAGCCAATATGAATGGCTCTCTCGGCAAACAACCACCGGAACCTGCTTCCTTGGCACGCGGCTGCCAACGGTTGATCAACAATGATGACTAGAGGTGTGGAGGCAGTAGGAAATCAAGGATCGTATGAGTCTAAATGGAAAAGAAGAACGACGAAGCTCCCTCACCGGAGCAATCAGCCAGGCTACTGATTTTCGCCGTTACACTCTCACAGATCCGGCTTAGTGCCCTAGCCCTATATTCTGGTGTGCAGCTGATAGCAACGACTCGGATGCGTGATTAGAATGATGTGATACCCATTTACTACATTGATGATCGAAATCTAGCATCGTAAGTGTTATGTTATCTGTGCTTATCGGAAATATTGTTCTGTAAGGTGCATAATGTTTGCGATATTGTTGTAAGATCTTCTGGGCTAGTATCACCCCTTCGCGTTGTATGGTAGCGGTAGCCCAACTTCTGGCGCTGGTACTGGAAGCGCGAAGTACAAGTGATTTCCTGGTGAATCGCTTCACTAGTGCACTTCGGTGGGATTTGAATGGCTTGGACACCTAATCAACTCAAACTTGTTAGCTCGCCAGGTTCATGTGTTCCGAGGTAATTGAAAGCCTTCACTTTGTGTTGCCAACCGTAGGTGTAAGTGCATATACGAAAGTGTGTTTTTGTGAAATGCACTGATCCATTTCGTAGTGATCGCACCGCCAATTCATGCAATATTGCCTATGCAAAGGCCTTCAAGCGACAGGAAGCCAAAGTTCTTACAAGTATGGAGAGGACTAGAGTAGTGTTATAAATTAGGTGATTTTGCTACCAACAAACATGAGTTGTAGGGACACACCAATCAGTCCAGTGTAACCGTCCATGTGAAATATGAGTCAGAGTAATAGCCTGGAGAATGAGAGTATCTAGAAAAGAGCGTGACTTTCGATAAGCAAGAAAATCATCCGGGGAGGTAAGGCTTTAGTCTCAGATGACAAACGTAAGGTTCAAGTGCAGTTGGCTAGATGGATGATGAAGTAGATCAAGAACCGAGAGTAAGAGGTTACCCACATTCAAAAGCTAGAGTTAGGAAAGATGTGGAATAATAAAGGGTTGAATTACCTTTTTAAGATAACAGGTACAGGTTCACACCTACCGTAAAATATCATCGCTAGAACTAATAAAGATAAGGTGTGCTTATTTCCTAGACTCTCCAGGGCCAGAGGCAAAAAGGGGGGCTACAATAGGCTTCAGTAAACATGGAAACATTGTCAACAAAAAGGGTAGCGCACCGTATTCACCTCACTGACTAGGAAGAATTCATGAGGGAGAGTGAATTACGGAAAGAAGTGGTAAGAATCGGTGGGTCGGGGGACCAGCTTGTCTGCAGAGGTGAACTGTATGTTACTTTCTGTAAAGTAGGAATAGAATATGAAGAGGGATAGGGGGAATATTAATAGCATTAATAGAAAATAAGGACCAGTATGAGATGGGGAGAGCCTCATGGGGTGCGGATGCGGGAAGACATGATATATACCAGAAAGGGAAGGACCCGAATAGCTTCACCATCACCAGCATCTCACTACACCCACCATTCACGCCCTCCAAGGGAAACAATGCCGCCAGAATCGATACCTGGGCAAATAGGCCACCCAAATTACCTTTTTCAGACAGAAAAGGGGAACAGACAAGGGAAGTTCTGAGACGTAAACAGTAACCAAACCCAGGGTAACCGAGTGGCTTAAAGCCGGGCCCGTAGTTCTGCCTGTCTCTTAGGCCGTGTAGAACCAGATACACTCGGGAGTCCTGGGTACGATTCCGGGCATGGGCGAGCTGGCCCTTGACACGTAGTACATAGCACGTAGGCTCAAGAACGTGCCATCGTCTTGCTGGAAATCGTCTGCAAAAACCGCACTAAGCGGTTTTCGTAGCCTCCTATGGGTTGGCAACCCATAGATGCAGGTGAGCTTTTTACTTTTTTGTATAGATAGATATTTCCCCTATTTAGTTGCGCGGCTAGAGACGATTGAAAGAAAGATGCTGAAAAAGATGCGAAGAGACTCTACTCTACCGGGAACATGTTTTGATTATTCGAGGGTTTGTGCCTGATTCAGGCAAACCTTTACAATTCACCGTTGGGGGTTGTATTTTTCCATGTCTCTCGTCTGTTGTTGAATGCTTTCAATCAGTTATTGACGAATAATTCGGACACAAATCCATTACTGTCGTTTGATCTGATGCTTAGATAAAAGGTGCTGGGTGACGGCTAATATATTAGACGTAATTATGAAAAAGACTAGTATAACAGATACTGATCTCGGACAAATCTGCAGTAATAAGACGATGCTTGAAGTTCCTGCAACTTACTAGTTTGACCAAAGAAGCTGGATATAATCTACTTACAGAGCAGTTGCAGGTTTAAATCTGGACTGTTGGGCAAGAGAGGAAACAAATTACACGAGGGATGGAATTGACCCCCCGAGCCAGAATGATCGTTGGTTCCGGGAATTGTAGAGGTTAGGGAGTTGAGAAGGTCAGGCGGAGTTTACCGTGTCTTTGTATGTTCGCATTTTCATTTTCTTATCCATATGCCATCCCTTGTGAATCTCCGACTGCAGCCTCATACTAATCCAAATGACCCAGACGCTGGATCAGTCCAGTTGCCATTTCCCAACATTTTAGTATATAGTTGATATGTTTGTCTTTTATATAGAACATTCTGTGCTTGGGTGTGAGAGTCGTAGTAATCCCAAGACGTAAATGATTTAGAGAGTCTGGCTCCTTGCAGTCGGGCAGCAGGACATGGTACACAAGGTACTGCTCTTTGCTCACTTTGAATCCTGAGCGCAGATAAGGCCAGGTCAATAATGTCTTGCCGATGACATTGTATGTCTTAGCCGCTGCTGTCCACTCAGCTTTATTTTTGCGGCATGTAAAAGGCATAATATAAGCAAACAAAGGGGCAATTATGATAATGATAAGAATGAATGCTACTTTGCATAGAAAGAAAAATCCAAGTATCTGGCATCGGTATAAGAGGAAAAGAACAAAAATAAAAACCATGAAGTATTGGGTGCTCTGTAGGAGGTTGTTGTCGTTACACAAGTAAATGCAGAAATTGCATAAGGAAAAACGCGTGGGGTATATTGCGGTGGAGGACATGGTCGTACTCACCCCCGGGTCCCCAAAGGATGGCTCAGATAAAGGCGAAGAAACAAATCAATTGGCGCGCTCTTCTTCCATTCAGAGCTGTATAGTTCGACTGTCTAATGACCAGCCTTTCCTGGACCATACATGCAGTAAAGATTCTTGCGTGCTGAGGAAGAACAAGAGAGAGAAGTACAGGAAAGTACTCTTCATTAGGAAAGAGATATGGATATTCTTCTTTCCCTTCACCATCATTTTCCATAAGCCTCCACCTCTGTCTCTGAATCTACCTTGCGCTGGTTTGCGCGGCCTCGCATAGCAAAAACTAATGCACTGAATTCAGAGAAGAATATGGAGTCTTCCCGAGCTTCCTTTATATCAAGGAGATAAAGAGCAAGATGAGGATAGGTTTTCCCATCAACTGGCCTTGGTTCCGGCTCTAGAGCTCTAAGAACATACCACCAATCACGTCCCTTACCGTAAGGACATGTGAGATCCGGTTCAAAGTGAAAGGTACTATCGGGAGCCCTAATATTCATATGTCAGCAGTGGAGGTTTATCTGCAATGAGGTGAGATTGTTTCCAAGGAGCTTACAGAACGAATTCAAGCCTTTGGTGAAGCATTGCCTCACGGGTCGCACGATCATGGATAAGGCTAGCTATCTGACTACAATGGGTTTTGGGCGACACTTTGCCGATGAACTGATCAATGTTCGCAGATCTGAATATCTCAGGATAGGATTTCTGTAATTGAGTTGACTCCATGGGACGAAAAAAGACTGGTGGAAAGATTGTAGAACAAGTCTGGGGCTTGTATTTATTCAGAAGATCACTATGGTCGATCTAAGTCGATCTAATCAGTAAAGCGAACAGTTTGTTCGGCATCTCCCGCATAACAGAGGCAGTAGCGGGAATCACTTTGTAGTAGCAGATAGTATTCCATGTGGCGAGCACCTTTTCATGCTAGATGGACCTAAAGCAATTCCTGTGATCAACTAACCATATAGATTTTATTAGATTAGCGGATTCATCAGAAGATGTTCCTGAAGGTTTATATCCCTTCCTTTTAGGGTCCAAGCTACTATCAGCTGAGTTATTCACTCCCTGTCCAAGTAACTAACAACTAGTTCAAGAGCAGTGACTGCTGACCATCTGGAGTTTGACCGGGAAGTGGCTCACATGAATGGCAGGAAAACACCGTGTTTGTCATCAAGTGGTTCATATGTGGTCCAAAACATTAAGGAGACGATATCACGGGAAGAGATATACAGGTAGAATGTATGCATACAGTAGGCATATCTTCCGCAAATTAATGGATACTACATACCCATTCTATGGCATATTCCACATACTTAGCAGGTCAAGTCTCGCTGAAAAACGCCGTGCAACTCTTGAAATAAATAAACAGCGAACATGGCAGAGAAGATAAATCGGGGTCTCGGGGTATTGATACCCCGCAAGAACCTGGACCAATCATCGTTCCAGGAAGAGGGTATGACCGTAATTAACTAATCTCCAATTCCTTTCATCTGCCTCAAACACACGATATGCAATCTAAGCAACTAGTTTGAACTAAAGTCAACAGCTAGATAAATCGGCTAGCTATCAAGCTAGTCAGTCGGTGAATCCAGCAGCAAAAACAATGTCATCTCCAGCCATCAACCCGGACGACATCAATCTGCTAGCGCAATTTCTAGCCCACGAACAAATCCCAGCATCATCCCACCCCCCAATCAATACCGACTGCATCGTGATATGTGTTTCGGCAGTGCTTTATCCCGCAGAGGCCGTCTTCAAACACCTGGAGCGCAACCCCCAATCAACTAAAACACTCGTTCTATGTGGTGGAATCGGCCACTCCACGCCTCATCTCTACGAGGCCGTATCGAGGCACCCAGACTACGCACACCTCGTCCCAGAAATTACAGGCAAGCCAGAATCTCATGTCTTGCATACCATCTTCACGCGGTGCTTTGATGCCACCTTCATCCAGAAATCCGGCTGCACGGTTCTACTAGAAGATAAGTCCACGAATTGCGGACAGAATGCCTTAGAAACACGGGCATTATTGGCAAGGAACGGTATCCCGGAACCTAAATCTATGATTGTTGTGCAGGATCCGACCATGACTCGGCGGACGGTTGCCTCATTTGAAAAGGCGTATGCGCCGAGCCCCCCGAATTTGCTCAGCTGGCCGATTATAGTGCCTCGAGTTAAGGTCGAGGAGGGTGAGTTGGTATATGATGATGATGGTAGTATGCCAGGGGTGACGGGAACATTGTGGAGTATGTCACGCTTCTTGGGTCTGGTTTTGGGTGAGATTCCACGGCTGAGAGATGATGAGCATGGGTATGGTCCCATGGGGAAGGGGTTTATTGGTCATGTTGATATTCCGAAGGAGGTTGAACACGCGTATAATAGGGTCCAAAGGGGGATAGGAGAAGATTTGGCAAAGAGATAGATTGGTCGTTTTCAGGTTGTGTTGTGGCTGTGGTTTTACTATGGGGAACCTTGCGATCGGAACTGCCGAGATATCCACTAGAGACCCATTTCCATGATACCATATTGTGTGTATCAGACGCGTACTTACATAGAAATGTATTGTGAGTAGCCGGTTTGCTACGTATTGTGACGAATATAACGGTATATATTAGGTAACATATGGTACCATACGTAAGCAGATACGGCATCTCCCATCCGATGCACTTCTTGTCTCTGTTAAATCTTCCACCGAACACAAGCTTCAAAGGTCTGCAGGTACGTAAGCTTGAATCCGAAATCCATGGCCCTTGTCGATTGATGTGTGCACGTTCCCCTGCAATCATGAGACTCACCAACGGTAGACCCTGACTCGTGGATTGCCAAGCGACCCTGTCGAACCGCTAAAGGGACTTAGTTCTTGACTCTTCGTCAGCTCCGACATGATCATCGCTGCAATATCCCCTTCGAAGTAGCCGAGCGCCCGTCAGCACTCGTCTCGAAGCCGGCGGGGTCCCTGCTCTTGACTCGATTTCTCCGTGAATAAGGAATTGCTCTGAAAGGCCTGAGCTAAAGCTTGACCTCTGATTCACGAGAAGAAAATGATCGGCATCGGTCCAGGAACGGGAAACCAACGGGACGAAACAATGAATCCAGAATTAATATCGAGAAACCCTGCCGTCTCTCACCGTCGTGTCAATCCTTGCAGCCACCTCATATGAGCGGAGGTGATAGGGGCGGCTATGGATTCTCCGGTGGGAGGAGCTGCCCTCGAGGTATGTGGCATACTGGATGTTTATAAAAGGCCAGCGGCAATTGCTGCGATCGGTTGAGACCAAGCAGAGAGACACTTGCAAAGTAACTTCTCACCATGCCTGCTCTTTCCATCCTCGCTCTCGCCCTCGCCCCGTTGCTGGTCAACGGCCAGCTCTCCGGTAGCGTCGGTCCGCTCACTTCGGCACACTCGAAGGCTGCGACCAAGACGTGTAACATCCTGGACTATGGTGCTGTGGCAGACAACTCCACCGACATTGGGTCTCCCCTCTCAGAAGCCTGGGATGCGTGCTCGGACGGAGGTCTGATCTATATTCCTCCTGGTGACTATGCGATGGACACCTGGGTGTCTCTGTCAGGAGGCAAGGCGACCGCCATCATCCTGGACGGTACTATTTACCGTACTGGCACCGATGGCGGTAACATGATTCTAGTGGAGAATTCTTCCGACTTTGAGTTGTACAGTAACTCGTCCTCTGGTGCCGTCCAAGGATTCGGATATGTGTACCACCGGGAGGGCGATCTTGATGGGCCACGGATTTTGCGACTCCAGGATGTGAGCAATTTCGCGGTGCATGATATCATTCTCGTGGACGCGCCAGCCTTCCACTTCGTCATGGACGACTGCTCCGATGGAGAAGTGTATAACATGGCTATCCGGGGTGGTAACTCGGGCGGCTTGGATGGGATTGATGTGTGGGGTAGCAACATCTGGGTTCACGACGTATGTTCCACATCATACCACAATGGAAAGCTTCCAGTGCTGATTCATGTACCCAGGTCGAGGTGACCAACAAGGATGAATGTGTCACAGTCAAGGTAGGGCCCACCTGGTATGACCATCCCTAGCTCGGTTACTGACAACCCGCAGAGCCCTGCCAACAACATCCTAGTGGAAAGCATCTACTGCAACTGGAGTGGAGGTTGTGCGATGGGTTCTCTCGGCGCTGACACCGATATCACTGATATTCTGTACCGCAACGTTTACACCTGGAGTTCCAACCAGATGTACATGATCAAGAGCAATGGCGGTAGTGGGACTGTCAAGAACACCCTTCTTGAGAACTTTATTGGTATGTCTGGCCCACTCGAACTAGGTATATACAGCCTCCGGCTAATGCGTTGCAGGACACGGCAACGCCTATTCTCTGGATATTGACAGCTACTGGAGCAGCATGACAGCCGTGGATGGCGACGGCGTGGAATTGAGTAACATCACATTCAAGAACTGGAAGGGAACGGAGGCGGATGGTGCCGAACGCGGGCCCATCAAGGTGGTATGCTCGGACACGGCCCCTTGCACCGACATCACCATCGAGGATTTTGCCATGTGGACCGAAAGCGGCGATGAGCAGACCTACACCTGCGAGTCGGCGTATGGTGATGGATTTTGCCTCGAAGACAGCGATTCCACCACCTCGTATACGACCACCCAGACTGTCACCACGGCGCCCTCAGGATATTCGGCCACCACGATGGCAGCGGACCTCACCACAGACTTTGGCACGACCGCGTCCATTCCCATCCCTACCATCCCGACTTCCTTCTATCCCGGCGTGACGGCGATCAGTCCCTTGGCATCGGCTGCCACGACGGCTTGAACTCGAGAATGATTCATTCTTTGCTACCCTTTGGCAGGGGTGGAATAGGTGAGGGCAGGTTTGTACAGTGTGTAGGTAGTTAACCAGTGAGTGAATGAGTAATTAATAACACATTTAACTGGCGGTGTATCTCTTAAGATGATTTCATTTCCTTTACTTCAAGATCTGCATCCAGAGGATGGAAGAATGCGCAATTTATGCATATATAATGCGTGATTGGCTGGCGATGAAAAGAAATGAGACCATCGGCCCTGCAGATCCCGCCATCTTAATGATGCTCATCTCATCCTCGTGTCTTGTGTAATCATCCATCATTAATCACCGAGCACATCCTCCTCCGCATCCGGATGTCTTGTTTCTTGTCGCTTCTCTCCCTCTCCACTTCCCCTTCACTCCTTCTTCACTTTTTTTCACTCTCACACAATGACATCTGTTTGGCAGCCTCACTGAACGAGATTCTGCTCCCGATCGCAAGTTGAGATGCGACCAGAAAATTGCCGCCGATAAGCTTCGTTGATTTTCTGTCTCAACCCCGCAATTTCAAACCGACCGGATCAACCCCGAGGAATCTATTCTTCAACTTGTCATCCTCACATCGCCGTGATCATGACGGGCGCATCCAAACCAGATGAGGCAGAGCCCGTGTTATCGACGCTGGAAGGGGCTTCGAACCCGCCGACGCCCAATGCTGCTGCTGCTGCCTATCGCTACAAGGCCGATCTGCTCAACTGCGCCATCCAAGACATCGGCATGGGCAGGTATCAGTGGCAGCTATTCGGCGTCATTGGATTTGGCTGGGCCAGCGACAACCTCTGGCCCATCGTCACCTCTCTCATCCTCGTCCCGGTGTCTTATGAATTCAACGTTGCCCGGCCGCCGTTACTGTCCCTGGCCCAAAATATCGGGCTGCTAGCCGGCTCGCTCTTCTGGGGCTTCACC